ACATAACTTAGAGAATTGTGCGTAAGAAAATTATACACGAATTCTATCAACATTTAATCAAACAATAACAATAGAATCTAGTCATAATCAACAATATGTCAAAAGACCAACACCTAAATTATAGAATATAGAATCAATAATTAAAGGTTATAGACAAACTTGTTTGGCCCATAACTTCTTATTCTTGAATCTCTTACAAAAGAAGTGACAAGTTTTTAAGAAGCGATAGAAAGCATATGTCTTCCTTTCCAATAACACACACTGAATAACGACTTATAATAGGTTAAGTTGTTTTGATGCTTCTGGAAAGACAACCTAACCAATTTTAACGTTGGTTAATTGGATCCTCCCATTAAAGGCCCAAGCCTACACTAATTGTCTATCCAAATTATTATAATGAATTGTATTGGTCAATCTTGGAACGATCACATAAAGCCCTTATGGATATCTCATTTGGACTACACATTTACCTGATTTTAAATAAAACAGAATTATAATTAATATTAGCCCACGATTAGAAAAATTTCTAACAATGTGAACCATTCATTAGACACCAAACTTCTCATTTTCACAAGGTGTAATAAGAGTATATATAAAATGTTAATTAATAAATAATAATTAAATATGATGAATAATGTGATAATAAAAGAATGGTATCTCGTTAATTTGTTTAAAAGAATTATACATTCAATTAGAATATGAAACATCACTCTTTGGGTGCGTTTGGTTTAGAGAATGTTGTATTACTGGAAAGATAGATTACTAGAGAATCTTTAAAGAAATATGTTTGATGGGTTGAAATAAATTGATGGGTATGTTATAATAATATGTTTGGTTAGGAGGATAAGTGAGTGGGTATGTTATATAGATTACTAAATTGCCCTCATTTTTAAATAATAATATAATATTATTTTTATTATTATTTTATTCTATTATTTTTTAAATTATTTCTTTTAACCCCCCTATATTTGTATTTTTACTAAAACACCCCAACCATATACAACTTTAATTTATAACAAAATCACCTCCACTCACCCTAAGCCACTACCGGCAGCCACCACCACCATCGGAAGCCGCCGTAATGGTGTACGACCAGCCAGATCTGGCTAATCGTATGCCGATAAGGCCTAATTCGGCCAGATCTGGCTGTGAATATGGTCGTTTCACGGCTAGATCTGGCCGTTAATATGGCCATTTCATGGTCAAAGATGTGGTCGTGAAAAGACTAGATCTTTGGCCGTGAAACGACAATCATTTCACGGCAAATGATTTGGCCTTTTCAAGGCCAGATTTGTAGCGTTTCACGGCCACATCTTTGGCCGTGAAACGGCCAGATCTGGTCGTTTCCGGCCATGGATCAAAAATCCATGGCCGAAAACATCCTTATCGGCACACGACCGGTAAGATCCTACCGGTCTTGTGTCAATATGACAAATTTCGCCGACAGCTAGCGGTGGTGGCTAGCGGCCGACGGTGGTCTTCGATGGTTAGGGGTATTTTGTTAACTTTTAAACTTTTTTGTGGCGGGGGTATTTTAGCTAAATTCTCAAATGTAGGGGATCTAGGTAATTGTTATTTGGTAGACATATGAGGGCAAATATATCCGAAATGATAAATTATTAAGGGCAAAATAGGGTCAAAATTAAGATTACCTCGGTAATCTTATAATAATACCCATTGGGAAGGTAATCTGATTACCCCCAATATTACCAACAGTAAACACTATTTGCAATAAAAGATTACGTAATATTTTATTACTTGACAACCAAATGAGGGAATCTTGAAAATTAAACAAAGATTACATGATTAATCTTATATCACCCTGAACCAAATGCTAACTTTGTTTTATACCATAATAATTCTTAATAAAAGATTTTCTAGTAGTTATTATTTGTCAAGAAACAAATACATAAGGTCTAGATTTTATAAAATAAATGAAATAATCAAGAACATCATGTTAAGAACGATCTTCACATGTTTTAACATTTTTTAGTAAAAAAAAAATAAAAAAAAAAATTGTTGAATACCAAATTGGCTTTGCTTAAATCTTCCAGAACATCGTACATGATGAGAGTAAGTGAACATCATGAAGTGTTGACAAATAGCATACTAAAACATATGGTTGATGTTATTTTGTAATTTTATAATTTTAAATATATTTACAAAAAATAAATAATGAGGAATAAAAAATGTTTTTCGAGATGAAAACGATGGGAACAATATAAATGTGTGCTTGGTATTTCGGATCCCTCTTTTAATTTCTTTGTTAATAAAGAATATTTAAAGCAATATTGTTTTGTATTTTCTAAATGCAAAATGACATGGACACCGAAAGAGTTATTCACATTTTATATTTTATATTTATTTCCTTAAACTTTACAATTTGAATAACTTTTATATAGGTTAATAAATATTTGTTATCTATTAATATAAAACATTTAGCTTTTTTATATTTGTTTGTGTTGATCAATTGGGTTACAGCTTACACCTTAAATATATAATTTATAATGTTAGACCTAATTAAGTTTGTAGTCATTTGTCGATTTCAATCTGATTTAATAGACGTTTATCATTATCATCATTATTAATTTAATACAACATTAGTAACTTGTACACCATGAGATATTCCAAATTGGATTAAACACGCACCAAGTGCAAAATAGTTTTTTCTTTCTTTTAATAGGGAATTAATTATTTGACATGTGAGACTATAATAATTAAAATCATCCTATCAATCACAAATTAATAATTGTTTTATGCCCATGAGGATGTTAAAGAAAAGATTTTTCGGTAGATTATTAGTTAAGAAAAAAAAAAAAAAGAGTCTAGATTAATAAATGAAATATAACAAATATGTTGGCAAGAAAGATCTTCACATTTTTTTTAAGCATTACAAATAATTATTGATTAACAAAATACGTGTGAAAAATTATCTTCAGTCTTTGTAAGCATTATGTATTTTTGATTGATAGCATATTAACAACGAATACTTAAAACAATACTTTTTATTTTCTAAATGCAAAATGAAATGAACACAGGAAGAGTTTTTTCACATTTACAAAAATTTGAAAACACAAAGACTTTGGCTTTGTAGGAATGGAATACAAAATAATTGTAAATATATATAATGATTCTTAATTGTTTGAGCCTTCAATATGCCCAGGAATCTTCAAGTTACATTAAGCCATCTATCTTCTTCAACTATTGAAGAATGACTCATCCTCAAATATTGAATAGAATTTTTTTTTTTTTTTTTTTTTTTTTTTTTTTTTTTTTTTTTTTTTTAAAGAGAAAACTAAGAAAAGAATACCAAGGGCTTAAAATATAAATAGAACTCAAAGTCTCAAAATGATTGTGAGATTTGATTTATCTTTTAAGTATTAGAGACACGTTCAGAAGAGTATATATACTTTAAAAAAAAAAAAAAATCAATGTATAAAAACAATTAATTGATAGATTATAAAAATGGTATATACCTAGTTAAGGAACAGATTGTACAAAGACCTATGTAGTCCATATTTTATATTAATTATGACTTAATGAAATTGAAGAATTTTATTGGAGTTCTTGTTGTGCAATCTTAATCAAAATTTGTTGACGAATGATTAGTTTCTAATTAAATATTTGATCTCTTTTGACAGATGTTTTAGAAAAGTATTTAAAGATGTTATGTGTTAATTTATATCATTTAAAGATGTCTCTCTCATACTTACATAAACTTTTCAATAACAGCATATATGTTATATGTTAAACAATCTATATAAATGAAATAAACCTGAGCACCAACAAATAGGCGACGAAGTTTATAAATCAAAACACATCATTTTTGACATAGTTTTAAGAATGTCATATGTACATAGTGGCAGATCTAGGATTTTTGTTGATGGGGAGTCTCCGCAGCTCCGTCATTATTTGCTAAACAATTAGTAAAAACTTTAAAAAACCATGAAACTTTAAGTAAAGAAAATAATACAATATCAAGAACTTGAGAAAAATGCAATAACACAATAATTTTTTATATGAATAAATTCATGAGAAGCAAAATTTTGAGTAAATGTTAATTAAACCTTGAGCAAAACATTCTTTTAATTATTATTTTTTTATTTTTTGGTTTTCAAAGATTATAATATAAATTTTCATGACTTTGACTAGACTTAACCTAAGTTAAACATCGATAGTAACTCAAATTTCTTTATTTATTTTGAGTAGCTGAATGGTGACGTTTGAAATGTAGGAAAGTGGTGGGTGAAGGGAGAAGAATAACATTTTTTAAAATATAGTTAAAGTTTTAATTTGGTAAATCAAGTTCATTCTTAGACACAAAACACAAAATAAACTCACAAGATCTATGTCTTTTCCTCTCAAATTAGAATAAAAAACCTCCAAAAAAGAAAGTATGATTTAACCCTAAAATAAACTAAATTGAAATAAGGAATGTACATACCTAAAACTGATAAAACAGAAAACAGAGTTAGTTGTGACATTTTGAGTAGTGAAAGCTTCAATAATTTTAGTCTTAATAGTTTTAAGATTGAATAGCATGAGAAAGAGAATGAGAGAGTCAAGAATTTTGGGGATAAAATAATAAAAAGCAAGTCGAGCCAAAAGAAGAGTTGAGAAAGTTTTAAACTTTTAATATGATGTGGGCTTAGAATATATATATTAATAACAAGTTTTTTGTAGGCCTAGATAATGTATAATAATTCTTATTTTTTTAAAATCCGAGGATAGACCTAAGTATATATGTTAATAACAATTTTATAGGTCTATATATTAATAATTTTTTTTTTAAACTTGAGGCCTATCCTCAAAGGGGCTGAATCCGCCATATATGTTCATAATAGTGAAAAAAGAAAGAGAAAAGGAGTTAAATGAGCTAGAAAAAGAAAACATGCTATAAGAACTAATTGCACTATGTCTATCTGTATATAATACATGAGCCTGAAACCATTCTTATACTCAAATCTTATTTTGTGTTTTTTCTTAAACAGAAATTCGTAATGTCTCTTCAACTTTCAGCAGTGCCAACTTCAATCAAAGTTGCTAAGCAAGATACAAATCGGCGCTCAGCAAATTTTCATCCTAGCATTTGGGGGGATCATTTCCTCTCTTATGCTAGTAACTCTGTGGTAAAATAGTGCTTATTGATTTCGTCTAATTTAATTTGAACTTGTTTGAGACAGTTTCATTACAAAGTTTTTAATACATGTTAATACTAAGTTATACTAGGACCATTGATGGTCCTCTTTACCATATATAGCCAACCCCTGTTCAAATACGTGCATGCCAATTACCATTTGCCATATATAATATTTAAAAACATTAATTAATGTTTTTATATATAGTAGTTTCTTTCTCCTATATGGTATCTGTATCTTTTTTTTTTTTTTTTAACTTGATTTTCTTATTAGATGGTCTTGGTAAATAGGTACATCGAACTTGATAAACAATAAAATACGAATTAGCAGGAGTCTAAATATATTCTCATACTTAAATTTATTCTCCTAGTTATATATATAACTAAGTTATACTCCCATTTTTACTGAAGCAAAATATCTTCTTCAATACGTACACACATATCTATTGATACAATATTTCATATAGTGGACGGATGTTTTAGAAATTTATCGTGAGTTAAAACTAAAAAAGCTACCATAGTCATGGTTTGGTATCTAATTAACATTAAGAAGACAAATTCTTGAAATGTTTATTTAATTTTTTGTCTTTGCATATCTCTGTCAACGCGTAAACCCTTGTAGAAAAAAGGTCCCAATTAAGTGCTATAATATTTATAAAAAAAAAAATAATAAATAAAAATTTACTGTTTCAAAAATACTCCCAATTTTATATATATACAAAATCCCACACATAAATTACTAATGGCGCGCGTTTCTTCTTCGATTTCCTTATTTATAAGGAAGCTGCTGATGAGAAAAAGTTACAAGATCTAAAGGAAGAAATTAAGAGAATCCTAAAGGCTAATGTTAACAAGCCGGCAGAGAAACTTGACCTGGTTGACAGAATCCAGAGGTTAGGCGTGTCCTACCATTTTCAAACTGACATTGATCAAATCTTAGAGAAAGCCTACGAGGCTCATCAAGACAGTGGTCTGAAAGATGAGAATGATTACTTGTATTCCATCTCTCTTGAATTTCGATTACTGAGACAACATGGTTATAACATATCCTGTGGTATTTGTTCTTGCTTTTCTCCTTGTTTCTTTGTTCTTTTAAATTAATTACGAATTTACCATTTATATTATTTAATTACATGTTTAAATTTGATGCTAATCATGCAATGGGTGGCGAAGCAGATGTTTTCAACAATTTGAAGGACATCAATGGGAACTTTAAGAAATCTCTTGTGAAAGACATTCGAGGAATGTTAAGCTTATATGAAGCTACACATCTCAGGGTGCATGGTGAAAGTATACTGGATGAAGCGCTTGCTTTCACCACCACTTATCTTGAACCAGTAGCAACCCAATTCAGCTCTCCACTTGCAGCACAAGTTAATAATGCCTTAAATCGACCTCTTCGCAAAAGCTTACCAAGGCTAGGAGCAAGATACTACATGCCTATCTATCAAGACGATCATTTGCACGATGAAATTCTATTAAAATTTGCAAAATTAGATTTTAATATGTCACAGAAAGTTCACCAGAAGGAACTCAGTGATATCACAAGGTATGAATAATGAATTCAGATTATTGTAAGGATTTTCAAGTGTTGCTTATTTAAATGGCTTCTGACTATTAATGTTATTTAATTAGGTGGTGGAAAACTTTAGATGTTGAGAATAATCTACCTTTTGTAAGAGACAGAGTGGTAGAGTTATACTTTTGGACACTGGGAGTGTATTTTGAACCTGATTATGGGTTGGCTAGGAGGTTTCTAACCAAAGTGACCGCTATGTGTTCCATTACTGATGACATCTATGATGCATGTGGTACAATTGAAGAACTTGAACTTTTCACCACTGCAATTGAGAGGTTTGTTCCTGCATTTCCTGAATTTTTACCATGTCATATCAGTAACTCAGTAGTTATATATCATTTATCATTTTAGTTTAATTTTTCAGATGGGATATCAATGCTATGGAACCACTGCCAGAGTATATGAAAATTGCTTACAGGGCTCTCCTTGATGTTTATGATGAAATTGAGAAAGATATGGTCAACCAAGGAAGATTGTACCGCCTTGATTATGCAAAAGAAGCGGTAAATTTCATTTAAGTTAATTAGAATAGTGCAAAAGCAATTGAAGCATGTAAGATTCCTGTCAATAATTTATAATTGCAATACTAATTGAGATTATGATTTTATGTTTTATCATCAGATGAAGATATTGGTGAGGAATTATAACATGGAAGCTAGATGGTGCAACCAAAACTATGTACCAACAATGGAAGAGTACTTTTCTGTTGCATTACCTAGCTGTGGCTACTTAACATTAGCAGCCACATCATTTTTGGGTATGGGAGATATAGTAACCAAAGAATCGTTTGAATGGGTACTCAGCAACCCTAAAATCGTTAAGGCCTCATCAATAATTTGCAGACTCATGGATGACACAGCAGGTCACAAGGTACTGCTTGGAATTAATTATTTTATTCATAATCTTCATCCGAGCCCAATTCAGATTAGATACTTCTTTCATCAATTTTATATTATTTATTTTGTGTAGGATGAGCAACAGAGACAGCATGTTGCCTCAGCAGTTGAATGCTACATGAAGCATCACGGTACTTCAGAGGAAGAGGTAGTTAAATTATTCGGCGAACAAGTTAAGAATGCTTGGAAAGATATAAATGAGGAATTTATTAAACCAACTACTGTTCCAATGCCTCTGCTCGAACGGGTTCTTAATCTTGCTCGCGTAATGGATCTCCTATACAAGGAAGCTGATTGCTACACCAATTCTCATTTGATGAAGGACCATGTTGCCTCATTGCTTAGGGACCCTGTACAGCTCTGAAGATTATTCCAGAGCTGAATAATACTCCATTTGGTCCACCCCAATTTCACAGGGGATAAGTAATATATGGTTTTTAATGGTACCAAATAAATAATTTCCCCAATAATTTGGTCTACCTCAATTTCATAGGGGATAAATAATATATATATACATGGTTTTTAATGGAAACAAATAAATAATTTCCCTTCTTATCACTGGAGTGTTTGGACTATATATATATATGGTTTTTAATGGAAACAAATAAATAATTTCCTTCTTATCACTGGAGTGTTTGGACCAATTTACGTGCATCTTGACTAATCCTCAAAATCCATTAAACACTCTACAAGTTTAATGTTTCAGGTAAGCTGCAAATTAAATTTGTGGTAGATGACCTTGAAGTTTGAATCCAGAAAGTCAGGCAAACCCTTGAGGATCCAATAGTTATCATTAATAAGCCCCTTAGGATCTTTCATGACTACTCAGCTGCAAAAAAAAGGTGAACCTTTTTGCGTGTTTGGGTGAAAAAATATGAGGGAAAACAGATCAGAAATTGCCCAGTAGGGAGTTCTTTTAATTCCAGGACCATCAGCAATAAATCAGTGCACTCCAAGACAACAAAATATTATTTATCCTTAACATTATTCCCACTCACGAGATTCTAGAGAGTGAGTGGACATGAATATCTTAGCTTAATCTAAATTGTAATGCATAAATAACGAGATACCTATTACGTAAGATGTACTCGTCAAGGTATTCATCTTGTATAAGCTGCCAAAATTCACATATTAATTAGAAAATAACGTTACACCTACTTATACTATTTTAGGTCCCATAATTTTTGTATTTGTTTCACATGTTATGTCAAACTACATTCATTATCTGTGGACCTGTGGATAGAGCCATAGAGACAAACAATAATGCAAGAGAGAGAACCAATAAATGTATGGTTAATTCTCTCTCTCTCTCTCTCTCATATGATTTGTTGAGATAAAAACCACTGTTTAATACGATTTCTCACAAATAGATTACGAGAAAAGTCAGCAAGTAACCATGTGTCCAGTCCTGAGAATCACTTTTGAGATCCAATCGCTACCTCTTCTAAGTTATAAGGACTTAATTAATAACTTATTTAATACGTGTTTGTCACACCACAAGAAGCTATCCAAAACAATCTACATGGTTTCTTCGTTTTTAATGTCTCTTCAAGTAGTTTCAGCTGTTGCTACTTCAGTCGAAAATATCATTTGGGGGGATCATTTCCTTTCTGTTGTGAGTGAATGCTAAAACGGCGTCGTACTGAGTATTAATGGAACGGTGTCATTTTAAAACAGCTCCAAGATGACCCTGACCACTGATTCAGAGGAAAAACCAATGGCTGAGATCAAGCCTCCAGTCAACACCATAAAAGGATTAGGGTTTCTTATTGTAACAGTAGATCAAACATAAAAGTTGAGAGCCGTATTTCGTTTTCTTCTGTGAGATTAGGGTTCTTTCTTTTTGGGTCTGATTTCAGTGTAATCTGTGGATTTCTTGAGTGGTTTGGGTTAATCAATCAAGGGAAGAACTACTGTGTTCTTGTTATAGGGATTTCCAGGTTAGAGGATTCCTAGGGCAGATTACGGGTTAGAATCAGGAAAGTTTGAGCGGGGTTCTTGGGTGTCATTCTTTGTAATCGTGACTGTAATTGGTTGTTCTATAATCATAGTGCAGCAAACTCCCTTTCTGGAGTTCAACGTGGATGTAGCTTGCTCAAATTGGGCAAGTGAACCACGGTAAAGATCCGATGTTGATTGTTTGTGGTTTTCTGTTTTCTTGTTTGTTTCTGGTTGAATCTTGGTTGATTGCATAACACTTTCAAATGCTACTGACTCCGGAGAACTTTGCAAGTTGAGAGAATTTGTTAAAGGAAAAACAGAAAAATAAAAGCAAACTTTTCTTCCTTTTTGATTGAATGAATGAATACAGAGTGTGCTACTACTTTAAGGAATACAGAGATATCAAGTTCAGTAGCAACGACTTAGTAAAGATAGTGAGCTGATTCTTACAAACTTAAGTGACATTTAAAACAACATCACTTTGGTAAAATTAGGCAGACCCTTACAGAGTGATATCTGACATTTTGATCCACATGCCCACTCAAACTGAACTCGGGTTAATTCTCAAACAAATCCTTGATTCTTGTCATCTGACATTTTGACCCACATGCCCACTCAAACCGAACTTCTCCAATTTCATAGTGCTATTTAAAGAAATAATTGGCTATAGAAAGAAGAAATCAATGCAAGAATCAAACCAATACAGCAGGTCCTCAAAGAAGCACCCAATTGAAGCAACATCCCATTTAGGCAAAAACAGATAAACCAAGTTCACAAAGAGAAATTGCCCAAGTTGATTATGTAATCAAATCAGAGTATTGCACTTCCCCAAGCAATGTAAACCCTAAGAGAAGTAATCAACTCAGTTGTTTGATCAATGGAGAATTGTCTGCACTATCAATGTAAAACTAGTTGTATGAACTTGATGTCTCTTCACAAAGAAAGAAGAACATGGCTTAGTTGCAAGTGCCGCAATGATACAGAAAATACCACAAAAAGTAAGGTAGTAGATGTTGCGGCTTAAAAAATCACAGATCCCGACAGACATTGCAGCAAGACACAGATTTCAGCGGACATTACAGCAGAAGACAGTACAATAGTGCATTTAGCTAGAATAGGGTAATTAAACAATAGTAAGTTTCTCCTTCAATTCTTGAAACTAAACTGTAGAGAGTGCCTTTGTTAATATATCAGCAATTTGTAACTTTGTAGGCACATATTGAACCAAAAGATGTTTAGCCAAGACTTGATCTCTTATGTAGTGAGCATCAATCTCAATGTACTTAGTCCTAGCATGACATACTGGATTCGCAGCCAAGGCCCCTACACTAAGATTGTCACACCATATGACTGGTGTTTGAGGAAAAAGTAGGCCTAATTCTAAAAAGATATTCTTCAACCATGCAACTTTAGTTGCTGTATGAGCTAGGGCCCTATATTCAGCCTCGATGGAGGACAAAGCAACTACATTTTGCTTCCTAGAGCTCCATTAAATCAAATTGGGACCCAAGAAAATACAATATCCACTAGTGGATCTTTTATCATCAAGATTGCTGCCCCAATCCACATCAGCATAACGCTCAATATATCAAGGAAGCTGTTGGTCTAAACTGAAGGCCATGATTCTGAGTGCCTTTGAGATATCGAAGGACCCTTTTGCATGCTTGTCATTGTATTTCAATAGGAGCTTGCAAGTATTGACTTAATTTGTTAACAGTGAAACTGATGTTAGGTCTTGTAAGTGTGAGATATTGCAATGTCCCCACTGTGCTTCTATACAAAGTTGGATCCTTAAAGCATTCACTATCCCTGGAGAACAGCTTGGTACCAACTGCTAGTGGTGTGGGACAAGGGTGTGCATCTGCCATTCTTGTTTTCACCAGCAGGTCAAGAATGTATTTAGTTTGTTTGAGATGCATGCCCCGATCAATTTTGCTAGCCTCTATACCAAGAAAGTAGTGAACTGATCCAAGTGTTTTAAGGAAAAATTGAGCATTAAGATCTTGGATCAAAGTGTGAATAAAAGTCTTGTTGCCTCCAGTTATCAAGATATCATCTACATAGATGAGAAGATAGGTCTTTTGATCACCCTCTTGGAAAATAAACAAGCTGGAATCTGCCATTGAGTTCCAAAATTCTTTACTTAGTAAAGCTTGCTTTAACTTGTCAAACCAAGCCCAAGTGCTTGTTTAAGACCATACAAGGTTTTTTTCTAACTTTCATACTAAACCAGGATACTCAGGATGCTCAAAACCTTTAAGTTGCCTCATGAATACATTTTCATTAAGAGTACCATTCAGAAAATCATTGTTGACGTCTATTTGCTGGATATCCCACCCATTTGTGATAGCCAAAGTAATAACTATCCTGATGGTGGAAGGTTTAATGACAGGCTAAATGTTTCAAAATAATCAAGCCCTGGGGTTTGCTGTAACCCTTTAGCAACCAACCTAGCCTTGTACTTTTGTAGAGATCCATCTTGGTTGTACTTAATTCTAAATACCCATTTGTTGCTTACAATATTCATATCAGCAGTAGGAGGCACTAAGGACCAGGTATTGTTTTTAAGTAAGGCTATGAACTCATTCTTCATTGCTTCTTGCCATTCAGGAGTTTGTAATGCTTCTTTAATAAAGCATGGTTCAAGAGCAACAACAGAGGTAGAGGAAGAGATTATGCCAGTTTTTGGTTGATGAAGACACTAGGATTTGGTTCGTGTTATCATTGGATGTGTATTGTGACTGACTGATGGAACTTTGAGGACAATAGTAGACTGTAATGGATTAGTAACTGTTTCGGGATAGCAGTGGGAAGTATAGTGAATATTTGTGGAAGTGTGAGTAGGTGAAGTTGAGTAAGAAGTAAGATCCACAACTAAAAGACAAGTTTGGAATGATTTTGATGATGTAGATTGTGAGGAGTTGAGCTTGAGCAAGGAGAAGAACCTAATGTAGAAGGTGATTATGAAGCAAGAGATGCATCTGAGGTGGGAGAAGAAGATCTTAATGCTGAAGTTAAACCATTTTGATCATTTACTAAACAGATATTGGAAGGACCATAAGATACAGTCGCAGGTAGAGATCCATCAGTAGGAGTTGTATCAGAAGAATTTGGGGTTTTAACAGACTTAAAAGGAAAACTAATTATAGGAGTGGCAAAATTAGACTCTACTAAAGTATTGTAATCAGAAGTTGACAGACTAAACTTATGAGCAAAAGGAAATTCCCACTCACGAGATTCTAGAGAGTGAGTGGACATGAATATCTTAACTTAATCTAAATTGTAATGCATAAATAATGAGATACCTATTACGTAAGATTTACTCGTCAAGGTATTTGTGTTGTATAAGCTGCCAAATTGCACATATTAATCAGAAAACAATGTTGCACCTAATTATACAATTTTAGGTCCCATAATTTTTTTATTTGTTTCACATGTTATTTCAAAGTACATTCATTATCTGTGGACCTATGGATAGAGTCATAGAGACAAACTATAATATGCAAGAGAGAGAACCAATAAATGTGTGGTTAATTCTCTCTATCTCTCTCATATGATTTATTGATATATAAAAAAAAAAACCACT